TGAAACAATCAAATTCTTCGAAATGCAATCAAATTCTAGTTGACGATTTGTTAGATACCTTCGACAAGTTGATTATTCCTACATGTCAATATTAACATTCAAATTTACCAAGAATAATCTAGCTTCTTCACAAAGTTGGGAGAAGTAGTTTGGGACGTCGATATTCTTGCATTTATTGTTGACCAAGATAGTCAATAATAACTAGTATCGAACATTGGGTACAGTCACATTTTTCAGGACATCAATACACATGTTATATTGTATTGACGCGAGTATCAAGAAGCGAGAGTAATTCTCGCAATAATTGAGCACATTCATAACAAGTGTGCTAACCTCGGCTCGGCTCGGCTCAGGGGAGAAATGTGGATCAGTTTCTCCGTGAGTTGTAGATTATCAGATACATCGAACAGTGTACTGAAACTATATTTCATCTACCAGATGAAGTCGAGCACCCGAAGTTGGCACATACTCAACGTAGATGTAATCTAGAATACCACTTAAGTTTAGCGAAACAGTGCATACTCGCAGATTTTGTACAAGTCATATTATAATACTAACTATTGTAATTTATTGTAATTTGTTTGTAATATTGTCGTCGTTATTTATTCAATCAAATAGTCCAGATTTTGCTTAATTGTAACTTTCTTAGTTCATGCCGACTCAATTGGAATTTAGAACATAAAACGGTAATCGAAGGCAAAAAATTCGACCGTCAATTTCGACGAGAAGCGCTAATTGTTATATAGTGAGTGATTGATGAGAGAATGTGTGGTGGAAAAGTGATGAAATGTTTTAGATTTATGTGTAATATTATTTTATTTGGAGATTGTGTGGTTGAAAAGTTTTAAATTATTGTTATATAATTTAATAATTTAATCATTTAACGTTCATTTTTTTTTGTGTACGCCCATTGCTTGTTTGCACTAACATTTCAGTCCAATGGTGAGGGCAAACTTGCCCAGAAAACTATAAGTTGCTTATTTGCTACTAACATTTCAATCCATTTCAGTCCAGTGGTGAGGGCAAACTTGTCCAGAAAACAAAATTAAAAAACGAAAGAATAAAAAATCAACAAAATTTGCTTCATGAAAAAAATAAATTCAAAAATTTATTAATATAATTATTAATATTATAAAAAATTAAAAATAAACTAAATTATAAAAAAAAGAAATTATAAAAAACAACAAATTATACGGTCAAAAAAGAAATTGAAAAATTAATTAACTATAAAGAAAAAACCAACAAAATTGAAGAAAAAAAAACAAGAAATTATAAAAAAACGAAAATTTCAAGGAAAAAAGGTGGAATGACTGGCTAAAGAATCCAAATGGCCCAGTTTGTCTAGATTCCAGGCAAGCACTGTTTGTTTCGCTCAAACGGCACTACAAATGCCGGAGATCGCCATTTTCGATGACCACATCCCCTCAAAATCACAAATCTAACAAAAAATCTACACAACCTTATTAACATACAACATGGAAAATATCTCGATGAACATAAAACTTTATTTATTCAGAGGTCATCTTCCTGAGAAAGGGCAATCTCCGGCAATGACGACATGGTTTCGAGTCGGCAATCTTCAAAGATTCATGTGTCGGTTTTTCTTCTCCAAATCGTCTTTTTTTTCTCTCTCTCTCTCTCTTCAAAGTGATACTTGGCTTTGCAACTTTTTTTTTAAATAAATACGTGGTCGAAGGCCATTGTGAAAAGATGGCCTGGTCAACTGGCTCTACCACTATTTCTTCTCGGTTTGGGGCTGACTTTGTTTTAAATGATTATTGGGCTGTGGACTCTTTGACTATATCAACAACCCTGATCTAGCTTCAACCTATTTACAAATGTGCTTTCCAATATTTCATTGAATAACTCCTTCAATAGCGAAGTCAGCACCTTGAACGCATTTGCTTAAAAAGCATTCTGGTCTCCATCCATTGAAGCTATGACAGAGTATCATCACCAAACTCACTCCGATAGCTTCCTTTGCCTGACCCCTCTGGCCATTTCCTACGGTCCAATATTCGTTGATCACCTAGGGAGGATGCAAGATGTTCGGGTTAGAAAGTGCCTTAGTCATTAACCTCAAAATACATCTCAACACTAAATATAAGCCAACCATCCGAATTTTCTCCACTTAAAACTTTTATACCCGACACCAACTGTCCCCTTCCTTATTTTGATCAGCAAATATTGTGACTTTCTCATAGCTGCCTTTGCTTGCCACTTCCTACGATCCAATATTCATTACCACCTAGGGATCCAAGATGTTTGTGTTGACCTATGATTCAATATAACTCCACTTGTTTTGATTATAACAAATATTCTTGTATTTTTTAACAAACTTCGTTTCTTGAGTTTCTTTCATGTATAAATTGTCTCAATCATTCAAAGGTCTCAAATCGTCATCCGTTGCAAATCACTCAGAAGTGATTCGAAGAAATCAAGACTTTTGAAGAATAGAAATTTAGAAGATATCTTTATCGACTCTTCAAAATTATATGTAAAGGTATAACTTGTCAATTTTTAGCAAGTATAAAGTTCAAAGTTATTTTTTATACATCTCATAACTTGCATAAAATCTTCTCGAAATGAAATTGATTTTGGAAAATAGAATTTGTAGCTTAAATTTTTGAAATCCAAAACCTGATCATTTCGGTCAACCGAAATTTGAATTTTGATTGCCGAAACTCCAACGGTTGAAAAATCTTACAACGGCTATTTTTGGGAGTTCGGTCGACCGAACCCTATCAACCGAAAGTCCCTGCACTTCACAGTTTTGCTCTATACATCTCTCTTTTCCATTCTAAAAATACAACTTTCAAGAAATTTTTGAGAGCCTTTATATTGAGAAATCATTGAGTTTACTTGAGCTTTTATCTAATTTATTTATTAAAAGAATCTTTTTGTTTGTTTGAAAACTTATTATTCATCTATTTAATCAAAGATTCTACTTGAGCAAAGAAGCTTTCATCTCTTCTATTATCTCATT